GACTGAGACCTCTTGCTTCGGTGCAACAGAGCAGCTCTCCCATCAATAAGAAGGCAGGCAGAAAGCCATCTAAACTGCAAGGAACTCTTTCAGTGCTGATGGATGTTATGGAATCAGGGTAGCTTGATTATTTTTCTGCTTTATTTACGAGCTGGGTTTACCCCACAGGGATGAAGACAGCAGTCAACCTGTTTGATTTATAAATAAAGAAAAGACAACAGAAGAACCAAAGTGAAATAAATCAGGTTTACTTGAGGCTCTCTGCTTTTCTAGGTGTGTGTTTTTTTTTTTTTTTAAGCCAGAACTACACATTAGAAGAGTCCTCAAAAAAAACCTTATATGTATTTTGGTGTGTCTAGGATCACAGATCTAGGTCAAGCATAAACTCAGCTTGGTAACTAATGACAGGAATTAAGCTAGAGCCTCCCTTGGGGATATGGCAGCCTGGAGAAGTTGGCCCAGAGCACGAGTGATTTAGGTGCCATTTGGCGCCCTGCCTGGGGTGACTCATGGGCCGGGTGCCAGGGACTGAGGAGGAACCGGGCTGCGTCTCTGGCAAACTTTCAGGTCAAGAGACTCCATGCTGCCAACTGCCAAGCTCCACGTGGGAACGAAAACCTGGGAATGCAAGGGCCGAACCCAGGCAGCGGGTCAGAAGCTGCTTTTTCTCTTTGCAGAAGGAAGATCTGCAAGCAAAAGTCACAACTTCAGCATGCCTGTACCCATGGGGAGCCACGGGTGGCACAGTAAGCGGCAGCACCCTGTCCAGAGCCACAACGCGAGCAGCCAGCTCGGCACCCGGAGCACCGGTGCCATCCTGAGCCGCGCTCTGCCCGTGGTACACGGGATACCGGGGGGCAGAACGCAGCACGGATCACATCAGCTGCGCCTTGTCACGGAGGAGAGTTTATCTCAATACACAGGGAAACTTAGTCTGGAGTCAAAAATTAGTATTCAAACGTCTAATTCTTTCCAGGACATCAGCTATAGAGAAGGGTGTAGGAAGGGAAAGGGAAGCTTATCCAGGCCCACCAACAGCTGTGGTGAGCAATGATCTCTGGTGCACCAGGGGAAGCAGCTTGGGGCCTATGTGGGGCCAGAGAGGAGATGGCCTCAGCAAGGACAGTCTACCATTTTGTCCACTCACAACCATGTGTCACTTACCTTGACAAACAGAACTGAGAATTTAGGCTTGCATCCCCAAAATGTTGTCTTTCTCTCCACGGTCTGTGGCGATCCTGGATTTGCCCTTCGCTCATCTAACCATGCACTAATGTACTTCATTCACTGCATTTTACTCTTAAGAATTCCCCTCAAAATACACTCCTATAAATCCCAAACACTCCCTTCAAAGTCTACAGTGACTTGCAAGCTGCCTGTTGCCCTGATCTCAGACACGATTTTGACTAAGCTCAATGTAGAACTGGCTCATGTAGAAATGTGCTCCAACAGACGCTCTGGAATTCGGGTAACAGGGAAGTTCCCATGTCCTGTTTTCTCGCTTCAGCTTCCCAAACACTCCCTTCAAAGTCTACAGCGACTTGCAAGCTGCCTTTTGCCCCGATCTCAGACACGATTTTGACTAAGCCTGCCCCTAAAGCCTGGCTCATGTAGAAATGTGCCCCTGCAGACACTCTGCAATTCGGGTAACAGGGAAGTTCCCGTGTCCTGTTTTCTTGCTTCAGCAGTGCTCTCTCTGCAAGGTCCTCGGGGGACTGCAGCCCATCTACTCCCAAGGAGACAAAGCCTTCCTTGCAGACAGGTAGCAAATAACAAGGCTTGGCTTTATACTCTGCAGCAAGTTACTTTCTTTGCCTCTTCCCTATGGAAAT